ATGAAACCTGACAGGTGGGCTATTTAATAGAGTTTATGATTGTAATTAAATATGTGAGTAGGATTAGACCTGTTCAAACTAGAACAAAGAAATTCAAATAATATAGGTTAGACTAGATGGTCAATCCATAAACTTGACATAACAAACTAAGTCTTTAATGAGGGCCAACTATGTGACGAGGATAAAAATTAGGTAATAAGCTCTCAATTAATAATAATAACCAAATAGATTTTTAGATACATTTTCTTGAAATTATGATCCATTAGCAAAAAAGTTAACCTAGAGAAATATAAATAAAAAGACTTCTTGAAATGAACCTAGTATCTTTGCAACATTTATTCCTTGATCTAATCCTAGTACAAATTTAGACCCGCGGGGAAATAAAACAACCTTTACATAGACCAATGTAGTTGTTCTTCGACTTTTTTGAGCTAGATCTTTGACTTGAACTCAAAGAATTCCCATCTTTTTTCTTCCTCTTCCACAAGTTTGGCTCCAGAGGATCCTTAAAAAACTTAACCCACCTTGGTTCCTATGCAACCATTTTGGATTCAAATTGAAATGATGATGAAAATATCACACTCGATTCGTTCCCAGTTCTTGATCCACTTATATAAGTTTCTTTCAAGTACATGGCTAATACCCGTTGGAATACACCGATTGTACCTAATTGCCATTGGAACACATCGGATTTTCAATGGCAAGTATGATTTTTGAGGACTCAAAAATATCCGTCGAAACACATCGATTGTACCTAATGGCCGTTGGAATTCTTTGACGGACAATTTTTCTTCCTTGGAAATTTTCGACAACCATTTTATATCCTTCGAAGATTTCTGATGGATCCAAAGTTTCCGTTGAAAATATCTTGGAGATTTTAAAAACTATAAGTAATATTTTTAATTTACTTTTAAAGCAATAGGTTCTGGGCCAACTCTATTGACACTAATTAATTTTTTACTACAGAGCACTACCGAGATGGAAGAGGGAAGGCGAAACGACAGAGGAGATGAAAGCAAAAAGCTCAAGACATGGACGATATGAAATTAGCATTGACACATAATTCAACGAAAGTATGATATCGATATTAATAAAAGGCTAATTATCACAAAACATTCTCACTTTTCAATGTTTTCATACAAAACATTCATACCTTTCTTTTTTGACAATTTCACCCTCACTTTCACATTTCATTGCAGAAAAGGTCCTTCCATTCACTCACTGTCAAATACTCCATTAACTCAACAAAGGCTAATTAGCACAAAACTTTCCACCTTTCAATTTTTTCATGCAAAACATCCTCATCTTTCTTTTTTGACAATTTCATCCTTACTTTCACCTTTCATATGCAGAAAACGTCATTACATTTTACCCACCATCAAATACTCCCTTAACTCAACAAAAAATGCAATTTTTCTTTTGAAAAACTAAGCATTATATAGTCTTACCCAATTTTTCATTGGCCTTCTTCCCGCCTTCAAAGTTAACTTTTAAAATTAAAAGTAGTATGAAAGTAATTTATACAATTATTCCATTGAATAAATAAGAAATGAAGCAAAGAACATTATATTTCATCTTAAGAAGAATGATGGATGCTATAGTACAGGATTACTCATAAAATTTGGAACAGTAGATGAAGAGATTGCGTATGTGATCGATAAACTGGAAATGTTTATCCCCATTTTGTGCTTATTAACGGTGTAAATAAGGGTCAAATAAGAATAATAGTGGTAAATGTGATGCTGTAAATAACCCATCAGATTTCAATAGTAAATAACCTATCACATATGGATAGAGAAGATGAACCAGAACCATTTTTTTTCGTTTTAGCATGAAATTAACTTGTGTAACCATCCATACCTTTCAATAAGTTTTACGTGTAACAAACTTATCTTTTAATATACTTTAAGAAAAATATATTCCTACCTTTAAAACTAAGTTGCGTAAAACATCCATACCTTCGTAAAATAAAAGGGAGAAACATTTTGCATAAAAACATTGAAAAGTTGAGACATTTTGTGCTAATTAGTTTTTTATTGAGATAACAGAACATTTGACAGTGGGTAGATGAAAGGACATTTTCTATAATGAAAGGTGAAAGTGAGAGTCAAATTGTCAAAAAATGAAACATATGGACATATTGCACAAAAATATTGAAAAAAATAGATAGGTTAAAGATATGTGAAAATGACATAAAATATTACTAAAAAACTAATTAAAGAAATCTTTCTCTAAGATCTCTCGTCATTGTGACGAATTGAGATCTCAGACGCAACACATCTACAAAATATTAATTAGAAGTGTAGATTGAAGAGAAACTTTTGAATATTAATTTTATCCTTACATATTTAATTATATGTCAATTCTATCCTTATATATTTAATATAATACCATTTAATATAATTTAACTTCATTTAATATCCATGTAATGCTATTAATCAAATTTCTATAAATAGTTATTTAAGGCCATCGTTTGAGCTCCTTAAACATCCGTTTTTCAATTTCATTCTGAATTAATGCTATTAATTAAATTTAAATAATTTTTTTAATATCAAAATGAGAATTTAGGACCATCATTTGAGTTCATTAAACAATACCCATTTTTCAATTTCATGTTAAATAAATTGAATTAATACTCTTCATAAAAATATCTTATATTTTTAGCTATATGTCAATTCTACCCTTATGTATTTAATATAGTACCATTTAATATAATTTAACTTCATTTAATATCCACTTAAGTGTAATACTTATTGTTTTATATTGGAGTACTTAAAATTTTACATTAATCAAATTAAGTTTAATTACTTAAATTACATTATTTAAATTAAGTTTACCACTTAAAAAATCTAAGCTCACATATATTGATATAATTTTATTATAATTATATAATAAAATATATTAAAGGTTGCATTATTGTAATGGTAGATTAATTATCATATAAAATAATATTTATTATATTTTTAATATGATTATATATGTAGACGACCCTTGAGTTTAAGTGATTAAATTAGATTTAATCTAAAATTATGAGTATTCCAATATGAAAAATTAATTATATACTTAAAAGGAGATTATATGAAATTAAATTTTAATTAATCTATCGTTAATACCACATTCAATATATTATAATGTTATTTTATATGAACGCGTATGTATATTATATTATTTATTATTTATATAAGTGAGCTTTACTTAAAATCAACATTCATCTACTTATATAATTATATTATAATTACAATATATATATAAATAAGGAAATGTTCAATTTACCATTTTGTCCTTATATAACATTCTTAATACTTTTCGTTCAAAAATTATAAATTTCACGTTTAATTAATTAATAGTTGATATTATAACTATTTAAATACAAACGGTAATAAATCGAAAATAAAAAATTGCTTAAATGTGATCATTAGTTAGGAAGGAAAAAGTTAATCAATGATGGGATAAATTATCCATCAATCTTAAAAACCTTATTAATTACTCCTAATAATTAGGAGTTACTTACACTTCCCATATTTACATCCACACACTAAATACAAGCTTTGCATCTCAATTACAAATTTTCACTAAATCCATTTTTTTAAGTATTAATAAAAATTAATATTATATGTTCTGAAAAATAATTAATAAAGTATTGGTTATTTATTATTGTGTGTTTATTTTTATATAAGCATAAAAATTGATGGTAATCCTGTTACTTATTAAATATAAATATATAAAGAAAAAAATATTTTTATCTTGATACATTTAAATGGAGAATTTTAATTCCTCCATTTGTATTAATCCATTCAAAAGAAAAGGAAAACTTTTGTTTAAGATTTTTCAATCCGATATCTATTTTGAATGTAACTTTGGTTTCTAATTTAAAATAATTGATATGGATTAATATGACGAGCATGATTAATGTGTAATTTTTTGTTTCTAAATATGTTACATAAGTTATATTTTTTTTTAAATTTTTAGGTAAAAAAATTTATGGTACAGACAAAATGAGTAATTTTTTAATTTTAAAAATATTTATGTACCGTTAACTTACTTTTACATAAACATTTTAAATGTAATCAAATGTACATATTTTAATTTGATTTTTTTTTCGTGTCTATCTATATTACAAAATTGGTCGATGTCGCTGTAATAGTTGAAAATAGGGGTCCAACGAAAGTCTAACATAAATAAATCATTACATTTTAATTTATTCAACACTTTCACTTTTTGTACGTAACTTTCATAAGACTTTAATTGATATGTATATTCTTTAACAATTTTAATTTTTTTCTTTTAACATCACCAATTGCTTTACTTTAAAAATATTACGGATATCATTCATTCCATACATAAAACGTGCAATGCACGTGCTTACTACTAGTTAGTGTGAAAAATCTTTAACTTCAAGCTTTAATTGAGAACAATATATAGAAACCATATGCAAAGCCCAACGGGAGGAATATCTCTTACTTGGCAAGTAGGAATGATCGATAGTGGAATTCATAATTGGAAAAACATATCTTTGGGAAGCAATATATATTGTTATATAGTCATTTAATGCAAAATTTATCAAGAGAAAGTCCCTATAATATAGATTTTTTAGCCGTAGTGGTGTCAAATAGGCTGGCGGTCGGTCCAACTGACCCACCTATTTCGACACTCATATTTTACCGGCAATAATAATTCAATATCCAGTTATTCAAGATGAAATATAGTGATTGGAGATATCACTAACTCAAATATTTCTTGCTAAAATCTCACTTAAATCTTACATCAAGAACAATAAATTGAAATCTATCCATCCAATGTTGTGCTTAAAATCAAATCAATATAATTAAGTTGACCTACCTCTAAGAGACTGTCATGTCTTTCCGTGATTAACCAAATGACTAAGATACTAAAAAGGGGTGCGACAAGTTCCATGTGCAAGTGATCCGATTAAGAAATTATGATAATAGAGCAAATCAAATCCCATGAACAAACAATTTAATACACAAACTTGAGGGAAAAATAAAATAAAAAAACAGATGAATTTTTACATAAAGTTTCTACAGATTATGAGCTTATTAAGCAGAAAATGTAAATAACTTCAATGAAGTCAATTAATTATAGAACAAGATTATCTTATATACCTGGTACATGTTATCTTCCATGAACTGATCCTAGTACAAATTTTATGACGGTTTGCATCTAAAACACCTTTTACAAAGATTAATGTTGTTCGACTTTCTTCTGCTTGGACTTTGGCTTATGCTCTGAGAAACCCCATTTTTCAGCTTCTTGGGCTTAGACTTCTTTTTTGTTTCACCGTCATGCTGCTGCTTCTTCCACAAATTTCCATCTACAAGATCAAACAAGAAATTTACTAAAGCAAACCCTCTAACCTTGTGATAGATCTGCGTCACCTGGGTAGAACCTGCAGATTTGTTGGATTCTAATAGAACTGGTGATGATGAAACCGGACTTGATTTCTTCACATTTCTTGATTTTGTTAGATAAGGAAATACCATGAAATGCCTTTCAATAACATGGCTGACAGAAACCAGTTCATAAGAATCATATAAAGGGCTCCCACAATCCCATACTTTTAGGGTTCTTTCTTTTTCTTCTCCTCCTCCTTTTCTTTTGTCAGATTTCTCAATTTCGTCAATTTTCATGGGCAAACGTTTGGGATTTTTTTTGTGTTCAAGGAAGAATTACTTACTTAACAGCATGTTCTTATGTCCAACCGCTGAGTTTCTCTAACCTTTTATAATTTTAGTTTGGGTTCAATTTTCTAAGTAGGAAATATTAAGAAATTGGAAATTCTTAACTGCCCTTGATTCACAAGGATTCATACTTAAAATATTTATGATTTTCTAGGGATAAACTAGTATTTTTATAACGTATCATATGGGTGCCCCGTGTCATTAGTTGCAAAAGTTAAATATATGAGTATGATTAGACCAATCAGTGTACAAACAAAAATCAAGTTGTTGCTTGGAACATGGAGAAATTTACATAAAATTAATTGGATAATCTTTTACAATCCTATCTCCAACATCTTGGAAGAAAACCAAATATAAGTTTATGCTTGCTGACAATGGGCCTCATGACAAGTCTTAATAGCAGTATAATGTGTTACTTAAGAGGTTCACAGGTCTACACACAGAAATTGGTTTGGAATTGATGTAAGGTGTGTGGTAGGATTCATGTCAATGGCTCATGAGCTCTCAAGAAAGTCAAAACATGGAAGTTGCACCATAATTTTCAGTTATGTTTGTCCGATATGGACAACTTAAAATTCGAATTGTGTATACTCATTATGATCAAGTATGATAATTCTCCATTTCGAGAATTGTATCTGTAAGAAAAATGTTCACTGATATTTTCTCAAGTAATGTGACCAACAACTATAGGACTCAAGGAGAAGGGATCAAGGGGGAGACACGGTGTTAAGATAAAGTGGATTAAACTTGACTTAAGTTCCCACATTAGTCAAAAACGAGAGTTTTCTTGTTTTTTTTTCTCATTATGTTGGCAGTATTTCTTTATGTAGCCAAATTTCACTTACAAACGGGAATTTGTTCTTATCCGCCATTGTATAGTAATTAAAAGTAGAGACAACTTGGTTAAAAAATATATAGTTGCATCTACTACCCTACTTGTAAGTTATTTTATCTACTACACTAGCAATGTGACGACGTACAAACCAATGAGAATATTCAATTTCTTTTCATAATTATGACTTAATTTCAAGTCATATTCTAAATTATGAAGAAAGAATAAAGAAAGAAACTAGTGGGTTTGGCTTGAGCTAAATCGGGTTGGCCTGCAGCGTGGTAAGTCAATGGTTCAGTTCCAATCCAAATCTTAATCCTCGGTCTGAGCCAACCTGCAAAATGAACAAAGTTTGGTCAGCCAGCTCGACCCATACTTCTATAATCAATATTTGCCGAAACCTAAGTCAGCAACTTGTAATATCTTTTACATTCATATTTATGTTTAAAGTTTCTACATTGAAAATTGACATCAAAGTGAAGTTATTGTAAAAACAAACTTATATAAGGTAAAAAAAAATTAAGAAAACAGTATAATTATATAATTGATTGTGGAATTTCATCTCTTTATCACCATAATTTAAGTACAATTTAAGATCTAATTAACACGGCACATTAAATAATTATTAGTTTACATAAATAACTGCACAAATTATTTTATTAATCATTAAAATCTTCTTCTAACCTCAAAACTGCTAATATTGTTCATTATGACATCAATGTACACGCCTTAAACTCATAAGTGTTACATTTTTTACTGGTTTAAGCATACAAGACATACTAAAATTTCCAACATCCATCTTTCATCCTTTCATAGTTCTATTTCAAACTTCTAAAAGTAGACTTCGACGCTATTTTATGAGATGCAAAATACTAATATTGACCCTAATAAAAGTAACTTTAATTTTCTAATATCAATCTTTTTCTTCATTCCTTTAATATTCTATTTCAAGCCCCAATACTTGACTCTACTTATAATATGCAGAATGCTAATAAATTACGAAATCATAAATATTAATACACAATTTAATGTACCTCAAGATTGACTCCAACACATTGTCATAATCAGTCATTCAAATTGTGGGCCAAAACGTTAGACTTAAAAGTTTAAAGCCAAAACCTAGTGAATTTAGACAAATCAGGTAGCTGAAAAACTCTATTAGAAACGGAATCTAGAGGCTATCTCAAAATCTAGAACAAAGACTTTAGAGCATACAGGAATATTTGGAAAAAGTGCAAGGTTAATAATATTATTAAGTTAAAATTCTTAGTACATTTAAACTAACTATATTTATTTATTATTATTTTTTTGTAGCACTCCTTTCTGCTTCAATTGAATATTATAATATGTAGTTTCTCTAAAAGATGGAGTATTTATTCATGCTAAAGGGGGTGGGGGGGACACAAAATATAAATTTCCAATCAATTGATTATAGGACCTTACTACATGTACTTCATATTTACATAAAGAATTACATCATGCACATGTGACACTCTATTATTTGTTGGTTTATAATACAGTCAAAATTTTCATCAAATCTTTTCTCTTCACATTATTTTCTGTAATTACTTATGTACCATTTTTATATATAAGTAACAAAATCCTTGATTATAATGTAAATTTAACGAGTTAACTGGAAGCCAAAATATAATAGAAAATAAATTTTATACATTTGCTTCGTCATACTTCTAGTGATCATGTGATGTGTAGAATTTTATCGTTTTATAATAAATACCACACTCTTCTCCTTAAAGCACCCGAATGTCTGCTTATAACCCATCTTTGAAATATATTTAAAGCCTCGTTGATATCTCGATTTATATAACAAAATGCATGACATAAAAGTCTTATTCCGTTGGAATAAAGCTAGAGCCCTTATCCAAAGTTTTTTAAGATTTTATATTTGTTCTTTATAATTTATATTGTTCTCTTTGTAAACACTTTTACATCAATTTCACTAATATTTACATCATGTACTAAATTAATCAAAAAGACTGGATCGTTAGTTATCACAGCACATGTCCATTCATTACCTCTTCTAATACTATTGATACCACAATTTGGCCTTATTTCAGTTTCATTATTTTCTTATTAAAATGAAAAAAATGATCGTTATTCATCACATCAAGTCATTATATTTGACTTTTTATCTCTTATGTGGAGCGCATAACGACTTTTCATTCTTATTTTTACAATAATGTAACTCAAACGGGACTTAGCAAAAGGGAAAAACAAAATAAGATCAATAACTAGAACTATAATTATGTATTGGAAGTACAGACTCGTACTGCTGTCAAATCTAGGACAGCTGAATTATTACAAGTCATATTACATCAACTTTCACAAACTTAAACACTCCTAAAAGCAGAACTAAAGTAGTTCTTGATAACATTATTGCGCAGAATTTGCAACACTGTCTGGTTTTTTGTCCCCACGCAACGAGGTGTTTTGAATTGGCTAACAGCAGCTCCTAATTCCACAAAATGATCCAAAATCTTATGAAAAGTACCATTCTTCAATATTCTGAGTTCAAGTGCTCCAATGGTTTTTACTTTTCTTGAACCGATATATCCTGCATCAGGAAATGATCTGTCTAAACGGTTGCAGCATTCCTTAAGAAGTTCATTGCTCGCTTCGCTGCTTAATTCCCAGTATATAACATAATGTGCAGGTTCGGTCGATGAGTCGATGCCACTCGTAAAATCGATTACTTCGAGTTTTTCCTTTTCTAGCAGAGTGGCTGCTGCTTCTACAGCCAGCTGCAAATCTTTCTCTGTGTTCTTATCGATGTTGATCGTAAGTAGGAGATTTCTCCGGCAAATATATTGGAGCTCCGGGGTCGAGTTGTGGAATCCTTTAACCTTGACCATGTCTCCTAGCCTATACCGGTACAACCCTACAAGCATAAAATTTCATCCAGTGATATACATTTCAAGAGCAATATGTTTGATTCTAATCAATGCTAATTCTATAAACTGCAAAATTTATGAGTCACATAAAGACTTACTAGACTCAAAAAAGTACCTTACCTCTTTACTGAGAGGGCCCTAAACATCCTTTTTTTTCCTCGAAATTTGATGAATTTTTTTATAAATCCAAGCAAAAAAGCATCTGAAATTTTTTTTTCTTGCAGGCAAAAATAACATAAGCCCACATCTTGTCTAGTATGGACGCATTTACAAAAGAAAAGGAGATCTACAAATTAAGAACCCCTTTTTCTTGTTCACAAGAAGAAAAATAGAAAAAGACAAACTTCAAAGGAAATTCAGGGTAACAAACTTTCTGATTTTCCAATGTGAAAATGTTGTTTTATAAAAATCTGTGAAGACGTCCCAAATGAAACCGTTCGAATCCATAGCATAAATGAGTCTGATGCTCACCTAACCTTTGTCTTTATATACAATAACAATATTTATATTTTAGTTGTCAATGCCATCTAAACTAATCCATGTTGAGAATATAAAATATATACATGTTGAGCACACCAAGAAATTTTAACCAATCAATTCATACTGTGTGTGTGTGAGAGGGAGAGAGGGAGGCGGATAGAGAGAGAGAGAGAGATCTACATGGGGGTACATTTAGATTGATTCATTGTGCAGATATTTAAATTCGATAGCAGACTACGAAGAGAAAATTTGTGTCAATTACCATGAAGAACAGCAAGATGCACGGTTTATCTTATAAAAGAAGTGACACACACATGAAAACATAAACGCGAAAATGCAATCAATCTTATCTGTAATAGTCAACAGATGTGGAAAGGAGTAAGAGCTAGAAAAAGATAGCAGCAGGCTTTCCCATTATCCCACGACCAGCTGATAAAAAAGGGATAAAGTTGATACCTAGGAGAAGATGCAGCAGTAAAAGGAAATGAGAAGAATGTATACCTGCAAAATTGGTTACAATGATCTCGTACTCTTCATCAATCTTGACTTCAG